GTTCTGGCAAGCGAAACGATGGAAGAAATTAAACACGTTTCAGAGACTTGCCGATCATTTACTTAGAGGGAAAGACTTTTCGCCAACGAATTTTCCCAAAGCCACAAGATTTTATAACTTTTTCGATTCATCTATCATCGAATATGCTTTGTCCATATACAGATGTTCAATTTCTCTTCTATTCTTCGCTTCGATATTGATTGTTTAGAAGATACCCATTACTTTGCGCGCCTTTTAACTTTGACTTTTGCTTTACACTTTACCTTCTGCGCACCGAACTCTTTTCTAGAGCATTTTCTCACATTCTGTATATCATTTTTATTGCCTGTTGACAGGGAATTCAATTCTTGTATCACTGATCCCTTCTTGTCTTCTTTTTTTATCTTTAAACTTTTTGTTCTGTGCCTCAGCTGCACTATTTCTCTTCAATCCCGGCACTGGAATTCACAGGGCTGGTTCAAATTACATGCACATACTTGTTTCTATTCTTAATCTTGTGGTGGATGTATATTCCAATTTGGGCAGGTATATATAAAGGTTTAGGTCTCGAGTCGGGAGATTGAGGTGCGTGGGAAATCAATCATAGGTAGTCAGGTGCCAAAAAAGGACCTACGGGGTCAGCCTGCATACTGTGTCAAATATCTTTGACATAGGCAAATCGCCCCAGATGAGAAATCAAATTCAAATAAGCAATTTCTCAAGAATCCTTCGTTCCAAGTTTCCTAATCCAAAGTGTTCAGGCATCAAGAATCGTGCCAAGTGCGTCATGGAGCCTAATGAAGGCAGGAAAAACTTACTTTTTCCTCAGTCAGCCACTTCAACCAAAAACGCGTACTTTCATCCTGGTCTGGACCTGGAAAAGGAAATGGTCGTTAATGCCCATGTTTAATAAGAGCCGCAAGTATTAAATGGCAGGCTGGAGTTAAACAGTTGAGAAATAACGAATATGATTATGCGTGTTTCAGCGCGCAGGAAACCGAACCGTGGTCAGCGCGGAAATGGTAAGCAGGGGCTCGCACGGCTTATATATTAACCTTTCTTGAGCTAAAGTGTATGTAATTACAATCTTCACATAGTTGGAAAGCAACATGGTTGTGCAGTAGTTTATACATTAATGGGCGCGTACAGATATCCTTCGGTATCATGCGTACAGGAAAAAGGAAAAGGGGTGGCTACAGGCCAGGTACAGTGCATATTCTAATGTATTAAGCTTCGTACGATTTAGAGTCGATACAGATCATCCCATTACTTTCTCCTTACCTAGCGATGGATTAGAGGAGGGGTAAGACGATAAGAACGGAACTTTGCCAAGCTTGCAATCTGCCAATCTTCGACCATGGTCTCGACCTGCACTGTCAAATACAAAGGTCTCCTGGCTCGAATTAGCCTTATTAACAGGGTTCCGCAATTTCGTGCATCGTGGAACGTTCACATTCGGGATGTTACCATGGATGTATCATATCCTCATCAGGAAATCCGCTTCAAAGTCGATCTGTCAACGTGTTTTGCTACAGTGTGAATACCACGGTGGCGCAAGAGCATGGATCTCTCGTCTTTTCCTCATGGCTACTCAAGGATCTGTACATTATCACTCATGCTCCTATTGACGGGAAACTTTCTTTCTTCATCACATATTACCAGCCGTGTTATATTCAATTTATATAATTTTAAAAAGGTAAGCAAAGCACTATAACAAACAACCTAATTGGAATAAACATCCCAATTAGTACAAGGTCTTGTAGCATATAGATTGAAATTTACCTAAGTTCAAGCCACAAGCTACCCAAATGATTTCCTATATCCAATTCCAGGCGTTCCTCAAAAACCACGAAATCAAAACAAGATCGCTTTTATCGCTCTTTACCCCCTTTTAGGTCTGGCGCTTCTCGAACGGAGATGATCCGAGAGATTGGGCAATGGACGTGTTCGGCAGGGCTGCAGATCCTTGTCTGGCACAAGGTTTGTTAGATTAGATTGTGAGAGATTACCCGATTTGTGCGTGGGGTCTAGTGGAGATCGTGTTTCGAATTAAGTGATGGTTCATCTCAAAGCGGTAAATTGTGGTGAATTCATATCGTTGTTTAATATGTTTTTTGATTGCATTCTGTGAATAACTGCAGGTACGGTTTGGAAAAGGAAATTTGATCGTGTATGCGAATGCTACTGGATTGCACATATCCAAGGAAATCTAGAGCTGAAATGAGGTGATGGATTTTTGAAAGGGATTTCAACTACATGTGGATTTAAGTAGAAATGGGAGGATGCATTCTCGAACGGGAAGATATTTCGGCCCTTTCGGTAACACTCGAAACGGAAAATAGCTGCATACATGTCGGGACGAGAGACAAGTCTTGGCGACCAAATCTTACCCGTCACAAAAGCATTGTCCATAGGTAGGCAGTTGAGATACATCATACATCATACAGATTGCAGGTATGCTAATAAGCCTAGGTACAATTTGACCTACATCTACCCGTAAATTTTGGGATAGCTATTTATAGGATAGGCACGTTGCAATTACGACATCTAAAAGTTCTTGTCGGTGTTGATCCGACAACATGCCCATGTTACCCTTTCATCATCAACTGTTTTGTGTACTTCCAGTACTACTTACTGCAGGTTCAATCCCGGACGGCGACGTGCCTTTCTTCGGCGACAATCTCCCGACGGAAAAATGACACGAATCTCCAAACTTCCGCTTTGTATGTACACAACATGAGACTTGTACATCGTAGCTCGCAGCATGAAAACACCATGCAAAACACGTGTATTCCAAAGCGTCAAATCGTATTACAGCATTGATATTCTCCAAGAACGGTAGGTCGTGGGGAATGGATTTCCTGCTCAATTAAGCGAGGCCCCTTTCACTCCCGCTCACATTAAATAGTCTTCAGCTGCCAAAATAAATGTTGTATCCGGAAACAGTCTAATTCTATTCGGAAGGTTCAAATGACGAATGTGTCAGAAATAAGACCTCAGTCTCGAATGATCTCCTCGAATTACTAGATTGGAAACATTCGCTCATCAAACATACTTTTCTAAATCTTCTGGAACCCCAAATCTTCTATCTCAAACCTTCTTCTCCACAGACGCGCGCCCTGTACCACAAAGCTTCCAGATACCCATGAGATCAGATCTACGCCAAGTCATCACATATAGGGTAGAAAAATATGTCTCTCAATCTCTCCGAAAACCCTACGTATACCGGTAGATGAGCATGTCATCAAACAAGGCTGATTTGCCCTTATTGTCTCAAATTCTCATTGAGATTTAAATGTGCGTAGATCAGTGGATCTGATTTGGAGGTGTAAGCGTTTCATATTTACGAAACGTCGTAAGTACCGAGACGACGACTCCACATTGTAGGTAAACGAAGTAAATCAGTGGGTCGCGAACACGAACTGGTGAGTCTAGGTTTTGGTCCCTTGATTTTTTGGGATGAGAGAGGCGGAGAAATTATTTTGCGACGGCGTGGAAAGAGAGATGTGAAGTTGATCTGTATATTGTAGATACGAGATAGAACATTCTGTAGGTAAATTCCTGGTGATCTTCCCTTGCGCAATGAACAATTGTGACACATTTGGCATGAGTTCATTTGAAAACCCCACTTTCGATGCCATTATGTCTAGAGAGGGGGTTTTTCTGTGAATCTGAATCCGATTTTGGTGTATTATATATGAAATTTGGCTCGAGAAGAAATTTGGCCGGCTCTATCTCTGCTTAATCTCGTTGTGTGATCAGTATATTACCTGCGAATGGTACGAGTGTGCTGTGCTTATTTCGGATGACAAATGGAAGTTCAATTCAAGTTCTGGCAATAAATAAATACTCGCGGATAGACAAAAACAACTGCAAATTTGATTGTTAAATGAATGCGAGGAAGTCGGTCCGGCTTTCAACTGCTGAATGTCAAGGAGTACCGAGAGAGACAAGTCTATCATAGTCAAAAGAGGTCTTCGGTCATAAGCCGTGCCGCTCAATTTTGTAACATATCAACTGTATCACCTTACAAACAGATCAAACATAATTCACTTGAATCTCAGCATGAAGCTTACACTGATTTATACGATGTTTGCATATATTTTGAAGATACGTAGCCCTGAATACCACAGGATATTACTTTCAACGCCATGATGATTGATTTCCAGCAAATTCTATATCTCAGTCACAGTTCTTCCTGCTTGTTTTTGAAAAGGAGCAGTGATGTCTTTTCCCAGTGTAGTTGCTGAAACTCCCAAACATCCACCCATAAACAACATCTACACCACCTCATCTTCACGCGTCCCATTCCTTTTCATACCTCTCCAGTCATCTTCTAATTCTGCTACTGCTTGGCGGGCTTATATAGAACGACCATGTTTGCCCCATTTTTCAGCCCCTTGATACACTCTTCAAGCGTATGTCCACCCTGAATCTTACATTCGAAAATCGTGTCTTCTTTTCTCGGTTTCGAATGATATGGTTTCTCCTGTCTCGTGGAATCTGCGCTGGTCTGGTATGTTGTGAACGTAGCAGGCTGTTGCGTCGTCTCATTGGCGGTGAAGTGAGATGGGCTTGAGGACACGGTGATTGCTTTGATGATATGATTGCCAAAGAAAATTCTGAGGGTTTGAAAGACAATTTTGCGATAAGATGGTGAAGATTTTGGTTTTGGGAATAAATTGTTGTGATCTTTGAATGCAAGTTGAGATATGAAATTGTTTTTCTGACATGCAGACGATAAAATGACCTTTCAAGATGAGGATTGTGTGGTTCTCGATGAGATTGATACCAATGCGGAGGAGGGCTTGATTTCATTTGTTCAATTACCCTCACGGAGATGGTTATTAATACTGGTATGTGTCTGACTCCGCTGGAAGAAATATTTGAAGAGTCATGTTTATGAATCATGAAGCATGAGTAAAGTTAAACTCTAATGTATGTTTGGTCAGATTTTGCCAATTCACTATCTGTGGTGTGGAAATTACCCATCTTCAAGATCAAGTAAATGTTTGAATTTTTCAAACTAGAGTGATACAGCTTCCTTCCTTCGTCGCTCTAACAACCTCTTCATCTATAGTTCCGTCAAGATAACAATCCCCAATAAACCTATACAGCTGAGCATTGCTACTTTCACTGTCAACTTTTCTCAATACGAACGGCGAGTTGGAATTTTTCAAGACCCAGACCTGATCGCCAGCCTTTACCTGTGGGTAACAAAGGCCCATCTTTCCGTTTTTCGTGATGTAGAAACAACGGCCCGTGCTGGCTATCTCAAATGCCCCTCTGTATTCTTCTTGCAAATTCCACACATCTCCGCCCAAGAATTGGCTCCATTCTTCCACACTAGGAAGATCGTTTGTCTTGATTTGTCTCCATCCATGGTGACGTCCATGCAGAGACACTCCGTCAGCTATCTTCGAAGCACATATGACACGGGATAGAGCCACACGAACAGAAGTCTCTCTACAAATTCCTACTATTTTTTCGCATAAACTTTTCCAATTCAATAATATATCCTTCAGCGCCTCCGCCGGAATATTAACAGTCGGCAATAAGGAACCTACGGTCGAAATTGTGTCTACCCACTGTCCTGATATTGAGAGTTCCGGTCCGTGAATTTGAATTACTCCGAATTTTTTACCAGATGCCTCACACAGCGTGGATGATGAGATTCTTCGAATCACGGCTTCGACCTCCACGAGCGGTATGGTAACTGAAAAATCAGGAACCCATGAAGGGAGGTTTGAATGATCCGAACCAAACGCAGGTCCTATCATGCATCGATAATCATTACCAGTCTCTTGCAGCATCAGTTTGAACACTTCTGTATATAAATCGATCCATCTGGCGCTGTAGTTGGGCCGATACGATTTCATGATCAACGACTGAGCCATAGCAAGAACCGAGAATATTCTATCCCGCGGCTCCATACAAACTCGATTTGAGAATGTCAGAACAATTTCATAGAAAGGGCGGTGTATTAATTCTGGAAACGCCCGTATCGTATCCTGACAATAGAGAGAGTGATCTTGCAACGAACAATCTTGCCTAAACCTCTCAATCAATTCAATCTGCAAGAAAAATTGGTCGAGAGCTAAGGTTTTTAATCTGGGAAAAGCCCCGAGACTATTCTTGCAGCATTGTGTTTCATTGAAAGTATGACATTTGCGGTTTCTTTGAGCCGAGATCAACGTTTCAAGAGTCGACCGCCAATTCCCATAGCACAAAACAGGATCGGGAGACAAAACCGCCTCTTGAACAGTCCATACTCGTGTGAACCAGGTGCTATTGGCTACTAGCAGAAACTTATCCCAGAGATCGTTGAATTCACTGTTCTCTTCAAAACAAATCTGTCCAGAGTTTGCTTTGTAGTACCCAGCTAACTCATGATAGTGCTTGTTATCTGAAAAGTGTCGAATCAATTGAAACGGATCCCCTATGGTAGGAATGTGATTGGGTGGCGCTCCAAGCCATATGTAAGCAAGTGAGCATCTCGAATATATTTCTCCTAGGTTTGCTAATTGACTAGCTATCTCATCCGGATCATTTTGGTCTACGCATAGAGCATCAATCCAAAGAACCAACGGGTGGTGCGGGTTTCTGACGTGCCGAAGACAAGTAAGTAAGCTCGCATGGATAGAAACTTCGCTATCATCAACTTTGATGCGCTCTGTGGAAATTTCCGTACCCCAGACATAGGACAAGCAGGTGTAACCGTTGGCGGCTGCACTATCCATGGGCTCGACACGGATCGTTGCACAAAGTTGTTGGTTTCCAGTTCCAGATTTCAAATGCAATAGTCTGAACTTTGGTTTGGCTGTGTGGTCTTTGCTTGTGGTTGCTTTTTCCATGGTTCGGACGTCTTCCGGAGACGTTGGGATGATGTCGATGATTTTGAGAATATCAAGGAGATGATGAGAAGCAATGCTGCAGATTGTTTGCCAAAGAATAAAGATTTGATAATAATATGACAGATAGTTCAGTACAGACGTTGATTTGCTTCTATTATTTCTGTCTGAAAGATTAACTTGGGAAGGTCGTATTTGAATTTGTTCAGATATTCGCCAGTAAATCTATGTACCAATGTCTAAGAAAAGCAAAATTTTCAAAGGGATTCTTGCACTCACAAACCCATGGTAAACTAGAATTATGAAGGTATTGATTCATTCATGATACCTTATGACTGTGTTTCATGACGCCTCAATACAAGCCGACTTGCCGATTTGAAATTTGGATTGAATCGTCATCATGGCTTGAAGAATTCTGTATGATCGAACCTTCATTGAACAGTCAGTTAATGTTACAGTCATCTCACATTGGATTTATCGTATCTAGTTTCGAGCTATCTCGTAGGAGCGACACCTGACTCTATGGATTACCTGTATTATCTCTTACCTTGCGTCCATCGCGTCCAGAAAACATTACCAACACCATGCACACTCATGCCAGAATTCTGTCGTCAAGTCGTACAGCCAGCTAATGGCTCCCGAAGCGAGAACCATGGCCTTGGGACACCAGGATGGCTCAAGAAATGACGTTCATAGAAGATTTTGACATGTTGTGCCTGGCTACATTCTCCTGGCACTTCAACAACCTTTGCCTTAAGCCTATGCGGAACAAGACTTGTCAATCACCAATTTTGACCGCCATGATCTCGAGAGCTGATTCATTTTCATTGGTTTCGTTGCTGAAGTTATAGCACCAAATATGCACCTTTGAACGTCTCTTCACAAACCGGAAGCTTTGGACTGGAGATTACCGTTGATGTTGCACTACCTCGTGTTCTCACATAAGCATCGGAGCCTCTTTTCAAATGGCGAAGTACATCATAGTACTTGCAAGATGTCTCGTGAGATGAAACACTCTGACAATTGAGTTTTCAATATCGTCGTCGTAGTACAAATCCCACTTCTCTTGTGGTCAGTTCATGCTAGTCTATATAAGGCTTAGCTCATCTGCCCCGCTTTTACAAACGTCAACGGACTGACAAACTTACAAACCCCGAACTTTGAGCTTTTATCGTCAAATTGTATGCTCAAATAACCCTCAATGACCATAAGGCGACTTTGATACAAAGTAAAGAGTTGGAATGCCTCCAGAGTGTACAAGTATATCGACACTGAGGAAAGTTTGTGATCATTGTCGAAGAAGAAGTAAGTCTTTTTGCAGATACCCACAGTTTTTGATGCAGTAAAGGAGTTCCGAGCATTGACCAATCAAAGGAATACGATGTGATGGGAATTTCCCATGTAAGCAATGCGGGAATGCATCGTTAGCATGCAAAAGAGAGCACATACCGAAGAGAAGGGGACCCAAACGTGGAAATGGTAGAGTGATCAATGAATTGAGAGCTCAAGATGGCGGGGATATCAAAAACTTTGCAGAAGTCCGTGACTCGGGCTCGGGTGGAAGCAGTACCGGTCCAGGATCGTGAGTAATTTCAAGTAGTCCTAAAGCAAGTTCTATTGTCCCAGGCTGGCGAGGATTGTTAAACTCGAGAAGGTGTTGAGGGAATGTTTGAGAATGTTCAAATTTCAACCATGTCACGTGGATTGTGACCTCTCTCTATCCCATCCCATTAGCGATTGTCCACCAGCTGATATGTGTTATAGAGTGGATATAGATCGTTGGGTTTCGGATACTGCTAGCTCTTCCGCCGCTCAAACATATGTGGGAAGATCTGCACGGCATCCAATCATGTCGGATATCTCGACCATTTCCAGTGATGAGCCAAACAGTATATTTACGACCGATCAATTTAGGCCCACATCTGTGAGCTACATGTATCTAATCCCGACATGCCTTGATCTTTTTCTTGAGCATATTTACCCAATTATGCCTCTAGTGCATATGCCCACTCTACGAGCCTCAATAAATCGGCCATTGGAAATGCACGAGAAAAACCTTCTTTACTCGTTATGTGCCATCACTTCAACTCATATGTCGGGTAAAAGCATACTAGCTCCAGGACCCCCTTCGTGGGAAACTGCTGGAAGATTCTTCCTTGACGAGTGTATAATGATTCGACGGGCTTATGACTTCATCGAAGATAAATCGTTGTCTGCTGTTATATCTTCATATTTCGTATCGACTGCATTTTTCGAGTTGAATCAGTCCAGGAAATCTTGGTACTATTTGAGAGAAGCAATGACAATGGCTCAAGATATAGGGTTGCATGAAGAGCATAAATATTCCGGTCTTCAACCTGCTGAAGAACTGTGCCGTAGACGAACATTTTGGATTCTATATGTTACAGAAAGGTAAGTCCACTCCATCTAAAGATGTGAGGTTCTAAAACGGCCTTAGGTCTTTTGCGATTCTACGTCACAAGCCTCTCACCCTTTCGAAGACACCGGCTCTGCCCTCAACTCTACATGATTATGAAAGCCCGGAAATTCATTCTGGGTTTATGCACCTAGTACAATCTTACCATCTGCTAGACTCTAGCTTTGTAGACTCTTGGAACGAAGCCTCTGATGCGCCAGTTTCGACTCTTACGTACACAGCGCTTCAACAACAATTAAATCTTCCTCACCCTTCTCACTTGTCCCTTGCTACCATACAGAAAGCTGATATTCTCGTTACCCAGCAATGGCTTCGCTTGATTGTTTGGCAATCTTCGATGCGTCAAGGCTTGCTCTCTTCCACTGCCGTCGATGAAAGCATGACTTTTCGATATCCTCTAAGCATCGCTCACTCTCTCCTGAGTGTCATATCCTCAGTACCCATCGCAAGTATAGAAGTCCATGGAATGGGTATTTTCGAGAAGATTTTCGAGATTGGTAACTCTATGGTAGACGTTATGCAAGCTTATGGATCACAAATTCCACACGAAATATATGGCATTTGTCAAGACCCATTTGATGTATTCGTGAGGACATTGAGTCAGACACCGAACTCTCAACGTCAATATGCAGCTCTTCTGCTCGCCAAAGTGACCGAAAAGCCGGAAATCCAGAGATTTTCTCATAATTTGACGAAAGTACTATCCATCAATACCGTTCCTGATGCGATTGAATCGAATGCAAACTTGGTGCCACATATACGCGAACCGCAGTGGAGGGGAAGTATCGTGGGCGAACTTAAATCTGATGATGATGTGGTGCACAGGGTAGAGAAAGAGATCCACGGACAGACAGATAACAATCCAATCAATGGCATTGCGTCATCAACGATTCAATCTGGTAACATAGGAAGCAGGGGAAGCGAGACATTCATGCTGCAGGCTCCTAAGTGATCCTCAAGGATACGCTCACTACTTGCGCGAGCAGACCCATCGTTGGAATTCCTTACCAAACCTTCGATGTATCGATAGCAGCGGTTCTATCATTACATTGCCCTTTCTACGGTAGCAAAAACAATACTTGCGTCGGAAAGTAACGGAAAATTATGCGGAACCGACGAATCATCACCAATTTTGAGTGTAAGCTGAATTTTTCTGGGGCTACTTCAAGAAAGATTGACTTCGATCTTCCGGCCGCAAAGGACGGCCGCAAGGGACGATTCGACATATTTGATCATCTGGGCCTTGAGGCTGGGCATCGAAAGGGTGGATTGCACGAATATAGGTTACGTCAAGATTCGATGGCACGAGAACAGTTTATGTCGAGGGCGAAAATGCCATCGTCACAGCCGTGATCAAATCGTGCTTGTTGGGTTAACAACATAAATTCCTATTTCAAATAAACAGCAGACGGACAAATTAATCAAACACTAACACTCGGATACATACAACCCGAAATCATCGAGATCTCCTTTTGCACTAGAAGTGAATGATTCTTCGGAAATGGAGTATTAGATGGGAATACAAACGAGAGACATTGAAATATTGGCCCATTGCACGTTCCAATACCCCGGCAAGACAACGTTAGAAAAGTGTCACGACGATTGTATTCCGTCTACCGACGGTCTACCACCATTTTCTGTGTTACGTGATGTTATTCGGGTGAAACAAGTATGTTATCTTTCACTCGTCATGGACAGGAGAGGCTTGCGCCATAGCTCGATGCAAGCTTCAGGTGTAACATCATCACGTTACTACTTATTTTCATTGTTATGGGTTTCCCAAATATTTCGAACACTACATCGATATCCGTACACTTTTGCTCGTCGTCTTCTTACTTCATGCATCCCCCCTGTACTGATGGAGGTTTGGTGTGTCATCAATTTTGACTATGAGGTCATTATCGCGAATCATCGATATAGCTAGAGCTTTGGTACAATGTTTTCTCAAGCGGATAGTTATCTTTCCGATTCTATCGGCCCCAGCGAAGGATAAGGCTGGCCCGACGTTGATGTAACGTAATGGCGAGAAGTATCTCTATCAAACCTATACTCTGGGGTGACAAACTATTCATTTGGCTGATTGGGTGACGCAAGTAGGTTTCCACATGTCGATTTATCCGTAAATTTCGATTGTGAAGGCTGTAGCGAGTAGATAATAGCAATTTATGTAACTTTTACTGTCTTCAATTGAAGTGATTGCGGCAGTATAAGATCTCCCTTCCTCTCCCCCATTCTCTACCATCAAACATAACCCTCTCTTGCCTTGAAAAATCATTTGTACACCTTCTTATACATACAAAATGGTATCTAACATCACATTCCTAGCGTTCATTGCTTTATCTGTACTACCCATACAAATACTCGCATTCCCCGCTAAAGCTTTCGAGGCAACTGCTATGAACTCCAAAATCGCTTCGTTAGCCAAAGCTGCATATGAAGAAAGACGTGCAAAACGCAGCTCACCTGGGTTTAACGCTGCTGCTCAAATTATAAATGTATCCGGGGAGCATGCATTTGTGCCCCCCGGCCCCAAAGATATGGTGGGTTCAATCCTTCAGACCTCCGCATTTTTTGTGCTATAGTGAGTCAACAGTATCGATTCTAATGCTTCCATTAGCGAGGTCCTTGCCCAGGCTTGAACGCGTTAGCGAACCATGGCTTTATACCTCACAATGGATTTGCTACCATTTCTCAAATAATTGATGCCAACGAAAGAGTATTTGGAATGGTAAGGATTACACTTTCGAGAACTGCAGATCGATACTAAGATTTTCGAAGGGAGCAGATTTGGCTATATTCCTCACTGTCTACGGCCTTGTCATGGACGGCAATCCTCTCTCTCTTAATCCAGGTTGGAGCATTGGTGCAAGCCCCACTCAAGGACAAAATATTCTCGACAACCTCTTTGGTCTACTTGGTGCCCCTCAAGGGTTAATCGGCTCGCACAATAAGTATGAAGGCGATACTTCACCCACTCGCGGCGACCTTTTTGTCTACGGCAACGCCTGGGTCCTTCAAATGCCTTACTTTCAAGAACTATTTGATCTGCAACCAGATAAAGAAACTGCCAATTACGATATTGGGGTCATGTCGCAGCTCCGCCAAATCACTTTCGAGAGAAGCGTTCGCACGAATCCGTATTTCTTTTATGGTCCGTTTGTGGGCATGGCGGTCAGTAATGCGGCGCAGAGTTTTATTTATAGATTTATGGCGAATCATACTGCGGCGCACCCCGAGGGGATATTAGACCAATTCAACCTGAAGAGTTTCTTTGGCGTCACTGGAGAGACTGGATATTTCGAAAAGAAAGATGGATGGGAACGTATCCCACCTGGTTGGGGACGACGAGCTATTGGTGACGAATATGGTATTTTAAGCTTAACAGAAGATATATTATATTTGTATGTCCCATCCCATCCCCTCTCTTCCCTCTCTTTCCTCCCCCCTAACAAACCAACACAACTAACCCCCTCCCCCCAAAAGCGCATCCGAATACCCCAACACCCTCACCGTCGGCGGCAACACCGGCACCGTCAACTCCTTCACCGGCGTCGATTTCTCCGATCTCACCGGCGGCGTGTACAACCTCGAATCCCTCTTCGAAGGCAACAATCTCGCCTGTTTCCTCCTCCAAAACGCCCAATTGACCGCGCCGGATTTTCTGAAAAACGTCTTTAGCGATATCACCGAGCCGCTGGGTATCTTGTCGTCCACTACCGAGGGCATCTTGGGCTCCATTGGAGGCTGTCCGCAATTGATGGATCCGGATCAGTCGAAGTTTCAGTTTTCTTCGTTTCCGGGGTCGGGGCCGACAATTTGAGGGGGTGGAGTGGGGTGTGGAGTGGTTAGTGGGGATTGACAATTGGGATGACGAAATGGGATGGCATGGCATGGGGAGGGACGATTTGATTGAGCATAGCGTGGGAGGAATCGATTGTATTGGTGGATGGGTTTTCTCTTCACATTAGATGTGGTTATATTTATTTGTAGTTCATTCGATATGTTCTCCGGTGGTTTACTCTGTTCATTTCTTTTCTCTGTTTATCTACCTATTAGGGTTTTTTGGATGGATGGATCAACTCGCATTGGTTTATATCCCGTAGCATACTATCTATCTATCTACACTCTATTTATATACTTTATTCTTAACCCACGTAAAAGTTTGTATATATACTAGGTGCCCAATCCATACAATTCAGTTCGAGTACATTCGCCTGCAATCTGAGGGGAGGGGTATGCGATGAGATCAACTCATAACAATCACAAGAAAGACTAGTTCTTCGAACACAATAACCAAAGCATCAAGAAGGCTAAAATCATAAAATATAAATTCTTTCTATTTAGAATCTATTTCTAAAAAGTAGCTAGCAAAAAAACAAGCTCTTCAAAATAAAACTCTCGCTATCTATTTTTCAATAACAGAACTAGTATACGAGTACAAATCGCATATGTGTGTATCTAAGTCGCAATAAGCAAACACCAGCCAGCAGATTTTAGACAAATCTAGGTGCATAAAAATGCATCCTCTCAAACTTTAATAAGGGTAAGAGGTATACAGTAATTTTTAGTAGACTCTTCCCGGTCTCTCGACTCCTCTATCCTTCTTCCAAACTTCTGAACGTACATCTAGTTGGCGAGACGTGTAGGTAAATCTTTGTTTTGGAAAGCCTGAGCTCCTTCAACGAGTCTTCTCTCAGTGTTCTTTCTACCGTTAACGAAATCTGGGTAGTTGAGAGTAAGCTCAACAGCTCCGTTCACAATGTGATCAGCTGCCTCAACACCCAACATGAACGAGTGATCTTGGTTTCCAACTTCGTATCTCCATGAACCGAAACGTCCTCTGGAATAGATATCTTTCTCTTGAAGTTTTGGCAAGAGTTGAGTCAAGACACCTTCTCTCTCGAGGGATGGGGTTGGGTAGCCGTGGTCTGTAGTAAAGATTAGTCTATGTTGATGTGTAGATAAAGTCGGGAAAGATGCTTACCGAAAGCTCTGTGATAAGTGGAAACAATCTCATCGGTAGATTTTATCATCTCAGTGTTAATCAGACCTTGAATGGAATCTCTAAGGATGTTCTCAACATCGACTGCCTTCTTGGTAGATTGGGAGATTTCCAACATGATGGACCAGTAAGGACCCTCTTGAGCCTCAGAAGACTTTGGTTTGCTGCCATCTGCGTGGTATAAGGTAGGAAGCTTAACGGATTTCTCAGGTTGGTTGTATGGGGAGTAATTTGAGAAGATGGTTGCTCTGTAGAATGGGCAGTCGTCTTCTGGGAAGTAGAGCTATGGAAAATGTCAGCACGTGAAAACGGGTGATACTCGGAATTAAGCCAAGAAATTTGAGGGGTCACCGCTTTGGCAGAAAATAATGTCGAGACAAAAAAGTGGAAAAGGAACTTACCCAGCATTTGTCTCCAATGTTTGCTGGTCGCTCTCCTCTAATTCCAACACCAACAACGTGGGTTGTTGAGTAGAACAGATCCTTGCTCAAAGTAATGAGTGCCTTGTCTTCCATTTGCTCGACAAGTTGATCAACAGCCATGGTGGTAATCAACTTCTTGTAGCCAATGGTTTTGCCACTGGATAGAGTGACAGTGTGTGCATCAGCGTTGACTTTCTTAACCTCTCCTTCCTTTCCAAACAAGGTCTTCTCCTTTGGCAAAGTCTTTGCGACTGCGATCCAAATACCACCGGTACCATCGCGGGCAGGGAAGCGGAAAGTGGCGTTAGGACCCCAGTTTCCAGCAGTCTTATTGAGAATAACGTTCTTGACGACAGTCTTCACATCTGGAGCTGCGACACGCTCACCGAGCCATGCACATTGCATCTTTTGTATTATTAGCATGATTTCGTGCAACAGAGTGAAAGGGGAATACAAACATCAGTGGTTGGAACTGCCCAGACCTTGTAATTGTATGGTCTCATGAACAAGTTTGCGATTCCCTCACCCATATTTCTAACGATCCACTCATCGAAATCCTTGGGTTTGGTGGTAGCAGTGCGAGCTGCTAATGCGGCATCAACCATGCCATCAACACACTTGACTTGTTCCTCCTTTGGCAGAACGGAAATGTTGTTTTGGAATGGGTAAGGAACCCAGAGGTTCTTGCAGCGGACATAAGAGACACGCTCGTGTGTGTACCAATCATCTTCTTTTGGCAAAGCCTCATCAATGCAGTCGTCAAAGTATTTATAATGTGAGAAAATAACGTGTCCGCCAACATCGTAGAGCTGTAAATTGGAAGTTAGAAAATTGCATTTGCCACATTTGTCATTGAATGTTGAGATAACTTACGAAGCCCTCAGGAGTGGTATCTGTAGAAGCAAGTCCACCAGGAGTTTCATTCGAATCAATGATCATCCATGATGCAGTATTCTGCGATTGTGGTCAGTAAAAAGGTTTTTCCACGTTGGCGGTGTGTATCGCTGGGTAGAAAGACACTCACAAGTTGATTCAAACGCTTTGCAGCTCCAAGACCAGTTGGTCCAGCTCCAATAACAAGAACATCCACGTTGCTACACGTACCAATTAGCTTGAGGATGCCACGAATGGAGATTTCATTGCGCAAATGATGGTGTGGTGGATGAGGGGGCAAAGGTCGAGGTAGTGAGAAGGGTATACATACATATCGGCCATTTTGTAAGTCTATAGAGTATCGTCTGAAGGGTATGATTGGATATAAATTGGAGAGAATTCTTGAACAGAGAGAGGCGGACGAGAGGTCTTAATAAGGTATTAGAAGAGGAAAGTAAAGGTGGCTAGATGTATGGATGGTAATGGATCTTTTCCCTTATACTCGTTCTGCCAACTGGTATGTATGAAATGACAGCACCTGGGAAAATTATGGAACACCAATTGAAGAATCTCGGTGGGTTGTTAAAATGAGGGTGAAATAGCCCACGTACCTTGAGCAAGGATGAAAGGGTCGAAGTCTCGAAGAGGATTAAATTCGACTCACCACTCTCTTAACTCAAATTAATTACCTATTTGAACTAGGGTGGCTCGAGGGAGGGTGGTTGATGTTCCCGTCCTCTCTCATCTGTGAACATTGAACAACATCGCTTCTGGACCGGTAGACGGAACGGATAATGATGGCAAACGCTACAACCAAATTTGGATAAGAATGAAATGGAATCTGAAGCATGGATCATGAAAAGCTTATCTATTGGCTTGGTCTCGGCATCACCCTTGAAAGGTTGATTCTCGAACCTTGGGACAGGATATTAAAAGAATATAAAACTTCATCTACGTATGAGACTACAACATCGGAAGAGAACGTATCAAACGTCGAAAACGGTAGTATTTCATGCCTCTCCCTCACTTACAAGTGATGTGTGTGTCTTTAATAACTTTAATTGTAACCTTATAGAAAAGAAATCCCCCAAAACAGCTGGATCATCCTAGATTCCTTCGAATGCAAAACTGTGGAATACGTATTTTCTTTGAGCCGACGATTGTGGGAGACTTTAATCTACTTGCAGGTTGTCAATGGGATCATCTTATGATTTGGATGTTGTTGATTTCACGATGGATCATCTCCTTCTCCACAACCTTTGGGGACGTCTTGGCCGAGTATCGCAACATCGAGCGCTCACAAACCACACATATTTACCAAGTCTACTGAACACCTACTGTACGCACCCGTTCCTTTCCTTGATCGACAAGAAACTATCCTCCAACTTGGTTCCCGTCTGTTGTGCGCCCTCACCGTTCACCGTTTATTTACCGCAATGCAAGAACCCCTCGGGAAGCATCATGCATGTTACCGGCGTTGTGATGAGAAATTCCTGTAATCACCTGGGAGCTTGGTTCCCTCTACATTTCTATAAACTGCAATCTTCTGGCAGAGCATTCGAGTCAGACTTTCATCAAATGAATATCAACATGGATAATCCGCCGATCTCCAAACATCATGAGTGATATAAAAAGGTGTGAAGTCTTATACAAATGAAAATCGGTTGCAAGTAAACTTCAGGCGAGGATGAGATTACTGGGAATATCCTCAATAATCGTATCAGCATGTCTATTAGGGTTTCCGGATCTCATCTCTGAGACAAGCTCACGAGTTGAACTTCTCCACAACTTTGGAAAAAGTTAGTTCGATGTATATGCTAGACCGACCTTTTTGCGGTGACTATCCGCGAAAGTCCACATTTATCTGGCCATCCAGTGGCCGACACCAGGATTGACGTTGACAGAAAAATACATGAAACGGATCAGCACCGTCGACTAATCTCTCAAGTAAATCAATCAAATTATCATACAGTAGCACGGGAGTAGCCAATTTACAACACTGAGCTTTGGTCCCTTTTGTTACCCCTCTGGAGAACGTCAATATGGGACCAATTAATTAGATTTAGATTTGAGTATATCGTGAGGGAACAAGGGGGCCAAGAAGGCCAATGATGATGATGCCATTGACAGATCTCTTGGTGTAACTTTTTGATCTTCGCAGACGAACAAGGGGAAGGAAAGCAAACAGATTTTATTCAGGGGGTGGCGCTAGAGATTCATAACAAACGGCTTAGGGACGGACACATAAGGTATGGGTATCACCTTTTCTAAATGACGAGGCTGAGAATCTGAGATTGAGGACATTTTAGAGTCAAGAGGTTGTAGATCTACTGCCAAAAGTTTCAATATCTCTAACAAGTCATCGCATGTTCGATGATCAGAAGGAGGGCTGTGTAACTGTGATGAAAATAGAAATTCCCTTTCTTTAGCTGGGACGATTCAAACATTCCAGACGATGATTTGATGAAGAGTAGCGGGATATTGAACTTGATCGTGGTATGTATGCAATATTAGTCGAATTGAGTTATGGTCGTTCTAATTCTTTGGATTGCACTCCAATACATAATTAACAAATACATAGCATTCATTGTCATAACCCTGCCATTGCCTTCAAATCAAAAAAAGGGGGGAAGATCAAAAGTGATTGCGCGTTTACCGGCCCTTTTTTTTTCGGACGGCGTACTCTAATTGGTAAGCTCAAGCCACAGCTATCCAATACATACCGGTACCTACTCTGTTTAGAGACTTGATTGGTATGCTCAAATCGATCTGGACTACCTGGATGTATACCGGGTAGGTAGGACTTGTTGTCGGGACCTCCCTAATAGACGACAAGATTCATTATCCCCAATGCTGTTAGACAATGTTCATTTTCATCTAAATAAGGATTAAAGCTTTTCCATTCGCTTCTTTGAAACCTTCGAGAAGAGGATGGCTTCGAATTAAGCTTCGAATGTATAAATAACTTGAAAACGAATGAAGGAGGAGATGAATTTGTGGTATCTACCTAGGAATGTGCAGAAATAGAAATGAAGATGGAGATGGAGATGATAATGAAATATACTTTTCCGGTTAACCACACTAGACGTGACCTATCTAGCTTGGTAAGCGACCCAGGACATGAGGGATAATGATAATGATAATGATAATGACAATGATAGTACGATAATATATTTGATTACATATTGACATTCTTGATGCTTGACAGAGAGTTACGTATGATGTATAATTTAATCTGGGCCCAGAGGTCTTCTAGCCGGGTAGATGAATATCCACTTTGAACCTTACTAAGTTACTACCCAGTATCCATATTAACAGAGGACTCCAACTAGAGTGAGGAGGTATTAGGTAGGTATATGCACGATGTACCTCTTATTACCTAGTACTGCCATCTAGAGATCTGTACCTGTAACCTTGAGCCTACCTAGGAGGTAACATTGAAATCACGTCGAGAACTTGGCCTCAAATCAAAGAGGTATTTATATTATTGAGTCCCCAGTAGATCCGATCCATTCACAACGACCCAAGGACATAAGGACATAAGGACATAAGGACCAACTTCTCTCACTCACTTCAGTCCTTTCTTCTCTTGTCATTTCAATCTTTTCTCCTCTCAATTTACTTCTTCACCTCTTCTTCATTATTTTATTCTTTGGTAAAACAATACCAAGTTCCAATCCTTCCAATCTTTCAATTTCGCCTCATAGCGCAAAAAAACTCGATAATCGTTCTCCATTGGGAATTCTAACCTTTCCGATCGTTATCTAGTGCTTGGCACACAGGAAAACGCGTCCAACCCTCATTACTGCCCTTACATCTAGATTGTGATCTTTCACATTAAACATCTCCAACACATTTGAAGTATCATTGCCCCAATTCTTCAACAACACATCTCGCAATCATGACTGAAGAAAAGGTTCGAGTTTCCGGAGAGATCTCCAGGTCGGCAGATTCTCCCGTCCTTCCTACAGTTAATCCTGCCGCCGAGAAATCAGAACCTCCAAAGGCTGCTGTACACCCAGCATTTTATGTTATGTAAGTGACAATCTCATCATCAATCAAAGCAAACAATTCGCTGACGTCTTCTCGAAAGGACATGGATTTTCTTCAGTTCCAGTGTTATTCTCTTCAACAAATGGATCTTATCGACCGTCGGATTTCGTACGTTTTTTCCAGCTGGGTCGCTTCCTGCGATGGCACCATTTTTACTCGCGACCATGAATTAACAGTTCTGCAGATTTCCCAATCTTCCTCACATCATGGCATCTTGGATTCGCGACTTTGATGACGCAAATTCTCGCACGAACGACCAAACTTCTCGATGGACGAAAGACGGTTAAGATGACGGGTCGTGTATACTTGAGAGCTATCGTGCCTATTGGAATCTTCTTCAGTTTGAGTTTGATTTGCGGAAACTTGACATATCTCTATCTCAGTGTTTCTTTCATTCAAATGCTCAAGGTATGTTGAATAGCTAGAGATGGAATGTCAATGTGCTAACGCTCGATTGTAGGCTACTACTCCTGTCGCAGTCTTGCTCACCAGTTGGGCTCTGGGAGTTGCCGAACCTAACATGAAAACGCTCTTCAACGTCTCCTTCATTGTTATCGGTGTCGTCATCGCATCCATTGGAGAAATTGACTTTGTGGTCATTGGTGTTCTTTTCCAAATTGGAGGTATCATCTTTGAGGCTATTCGAATTGTCATGGTTCAAAGACTTCTCAGCTCTGCCGAGTTCAAGATGGACCCATTGGTATCCCTTTACTATTTCGCTCCAGTTTGTGCCATCATGAACTTCTGCGTCGCACTTTTCTGGGAAATTCCAACCATGACCATGGGCGATTTCTACAATGTTGGATTCTGGACTCTTTTGGCCAATGCGATGTGCGCATTCATGTTGAACGTTTCCGTTGTATTCTTGGTAAGAAAATCACATTTGGTAAAGACAAAACTCATTACTAACATGATATGTAGATTGGCAAAACGTCCGTTCTCATCTTCACTCTCTGCGGTGTTTTGAAAGATATTCTCCTCGTCTGTCTTTCCGTCATCATCTGGGGAACTTTCATTACCCCACTCCAATGCTTCGGATATACTATTGCTCTCGGTGGAATGGTTTGGTTCAAGCTTGGCGCTGAAAAGATCAAGGGTTATCTTGCAGAAGGTGGACGCCAATGGGCAGATCTCGGTTCCCGTCGACCAGTTCTCCGCAAAGTTATCGTCTTTGGTCTTATTATTACCACCATTTTCACTCTCCTCGGTGGATTTGCACCCTCATACGATATCCACGCAAGCGAATATATTAATGCCGCTAAAAACGCCGTTGGAAGCTCGTAAAGTGTTTCTTTGTTAAACACCTTGCCGAAGCATATTTCTTTTCGCTTCGGTAATGGATAAGAAAAGTTTGGGGTATATCATTCTATTGTAAACCATATACCATATGATGTGGTTCAATGGGTTGGATCAATTGAACCATGAGATGTCTTTCAAAAGTACATACTAGACGCCCCTGCATATTGTGCTCTTATGCCATTATACAAGTAGCTTAGTTAGCTCGGTCTGGCACTAGCGTTATTATTTTCTTTGCGATACTTGATACGAATTTTCTTCTTGATAATTCTTTTTACAGAAGCGGGCATGATGTTTTACAATATCATGTTTGACATGAAAGATAGTATCGTTAATAGACGAATGAATGGTCTGGTTTGGGGAATGCACGGATATGCATGCATTCATGTATAAAATGGGGACGGTGTATGATTTTCTAGGTTGATTGTGTGAATAGCAATGTGTGAATAGCAAATATGTTAGAAGATCACTATAGAATTAAAGTTATATACATATATATTTAGACTATATGAATTGTGAATTTACCTGCTTGATTGTTGAAGTTGGGGGTTTGAGTGAGGAGTTGGGATTGTGATGATTAGTAGGTAGTAGGTAGTAGGTACTAGGTAGGCGGGATTATTTTTATTATATTGTTATGTGTGTGTATGTATGTGTGTATGTATAAATCTAGATCTAGTATATAGAATTTGTGTAACTGAAAATATGAATGTACGCAGGTAGGTATGTGTGTGTATACTTACTTATGCGACTAGAGAGTAGAGAATAGAGAGTAGAGAGTAGAGAATAAAGAGTAGAGAAAATGTGGATTTTGTTGGGGGAGTTTGAGATGGTGATGAATGTGAGTGTCAAGAGAAGAGGGAAGAGGGAAAAGGGAAAAGGGAAGAGAGTATGTGTAGGGGATGGAGGGATGGAGGGATGGAGGGATGGAGGGATGGAGGGATGGAGGGATGGAGGGATATTGTGTAGTTGTGGTTGTGGTTTGGTTGTGTTTTCAGTGGGATATAGGGGTGAGAGGGTGAGTGTGACGGTGAGGGTGAGAGGTAGAGAGGTAGAGAGGCAGAGAGGCAGAGAGGTAGAGAAAGATTTGGGATGATAATGAGTATGTTTTTAGGGGGGAGGGGAGGGGAGGGGAGGGGAGGAGTGAGGTGGTGGATGCCAGGAAGGAAGGAAGATTATTGGATTGTAGATTGCTGGATTGTATGTGATTTTTCATATGAGAAATTTGGTGTTGGGGTGTTTGGTTAGTTGAAGTTTTTTTGGTTTTTTTGGTATGTAGGGAAGTAGGTAGGTAACTGTTTCTTTGCCTCTAGATTTTCTTTGTGGGGTCTTTTTTCTTTTCTTTTGATGGGTAAGTGAGGGGGAGAAAAGAAGAGGGCAGAGAGGGAAGGAATTTGGATTGTAATTGTAAGGGAGCATCGGAGGGGAGGGGAAGGAGAAGGGCATCTTTTATTTTATGTTTGAATGAGTGTATTTATCTGAATAAGTGAGTAATGTATACTGTTGTAAATGTATAAGTATATACTGTTATACACTTAGAAATATATAATGTGGATTATTGATATTATTTGTCTACTTATTTGCTTATTTATTCTTTAACGATTGTATAAGAGCTCTGGAGAGGTGTGATATTTGAGAGGGGGTATAATGGAGAGTATGAGTATGAGTGTGAGTATGAGTATGAGTATGAGTATAAGTATAAGTATAAGTATGAGTATAAGTATGAGTATAAGTATAAGTATGAGTATGAGTATGAATATAAGTATAAGTATAAATATGAGTATGAATATAAGTATAAATATAAGTATAAATATGAGTATGAGTCTGTACCGTATAAGTATGCGTATGAGTATAAGTATAATCTAAGTCTATTGCTCTGAGTATGGATTCGTATGAGAAGGGTCCGTTATGTACTAGTAGTCGATAGGCTGTGGTTGTGCGCCGGGTAAAATGTTGTAGGGGTAGGCTGCTGATGGCTTTGGGGTTTGGGGTTTGGGCGGCAGTGTCGGGGTTGGGATTTGGTGGCTTTGGGGGTTTGGAGGTTTCGGGGGGGGGTTTCGTGAGGAGGGGGATGAGAGAGGGAGATGAGAGAGGGAGATGAGAGAGGGAGATGAGAGAGGGAGATGAGAGAGGGAGATGAGAGAGGGAGATGAGAGAGGGAGATGAGAGAGGGAGATGAGAGAGGGAATGTTATATGTATGTCATGTGAGAGAATTTTTTGTTTATCTTTGTATGTTGTGAAGTGAAGTGATTTTGATATTTGTATTTCGAAAATAAGTATGAAGAAGAATGAGTATGAGAAAAGAGTAACAAAGGAGGAGATAATGAAGAAAAGAAAGAAAGGGATGGGATGGGGTGGGAAAGGATAATATAATGATATGGGACTGATTATTATGAGATAGATTGAGATATTTTGTGATAGGTGTTATTATTTTCAGTATATGAGAGTTATTTTGTACATATCATTATCCATCGGTTGAAATTATTATTACTTTGAGCTTTGGTTTTGGTTTTGATATGGATTTTAAATTTTTTTGAATGATTGATTGGGAATCTGAGGGGTTGAGATTTCTTGTTTATGGTGAGGGATGGAAGAGTTGAGTTGAGGAGATGAGTGGATTTGTATATTTGGTTGTATATTTGGTTTGAGGTAGTAGGAAGGAGGAAAGGGATGTATGAGTATCAGATGTTTTATAGATTGAGAAAAAATAGATATTAATATAAGAATAAAAGATTGGTTTGAGGGATGGGGGATGTGGGTTGGGGGTTGACTAGGTAGCTGTAGTTTGATATTTAAAGAGGGTTTGAGATTCGGAATGGGATGGAATGGGATGGGTTTTGAGAGATGGGAAATGATGTAGATATATAGAAAGAAAAGGAGAAGAAGGAGAAGAAGGAGAAAAAGGAGAAGAAGGAGAAGAAGGAGAAGAAGGAGAAGAAGGAGAAGAAGGAGAAGAAGGAGAAGAAGGAGAAGAAGGAGAAGAAGGAGAAGAAGGAGAAGAAGGAGAAGAAGGAGAAAAAGGAGAAATAACACTTCATCTGAATTATTTCTTGATATTGATCTCTAAAATCTAATAGCAAAGGTAACAATGACTATCTAACATAATTGATCTCTTGACTGCTTATCGAATGAGATTTAACGCAAGAGGTCTAGATGAGAGGATATATGTACCTACCTAGGTATACTAGTTCATACAGAGACCAAGAACGAATGATTAGGTTGCATTTTGAATCATACAATTTTTGGTATCGGTATTCAGATCATGTGTTACTAGCCGTAAATTCTCAAAGCAGATTGATAGAAGGGAAATATCATGAAATGATTGTGATATGTTTCTAATGAACTAGCATATAAACAAAAACCGAGGATACCGCTTGGTTTTCGCAAATCTGGCACATATTCTGGGATCGTGTTGTAGTGATGACTGAATTATGTATTGCTTGAGAAATATTGTGAATAGATCGATGAATGGAGAAAATCGATGGATGGCTGTGAGGTATTTCAAAGGATTTGGGTATGGGTCTTGAGTGTAACTTTTTTCTTTTTGGAAAATTGGAGGGGAGTGTGATGTCTTGGTATAGATAGTTGGGTTTGATGGAAATTTGAGGAGGAGAGATGTTGATATAGGGAGATTGGAGGGAGGAACTGGTAACTTTTTGGGATGGATAAGATGGAAATTGATGAGATTGGGGTATGGAGGGGAAGGAATGAATGGAATGAGGGACATGAAGAGGCGGGGAGGAGGTGGTCATCAATTAAGGAGATGAATTGATATAGATATAAGAGTAAGTGATAATTTCAAAGGAATGAAAGGAATAAAAGGTGGAAGTGCTAAGGGGGTAAGCGAAAATATATGAGTAAATGTGAGTTTGAAAGGGAGAAAGGTATAGGAGCAGGTCATAAAAATGAATGAAAATAACCGTCAATCATGGTGAGTAGAAGAATAGTAATAATAGAAGAGAGAGAATGTAAATTTTCGGAAAACCAATAGGAGTACCTAGGTATTGATTCCCCAATTGGAGAAGGTGGATGGATAACAGATTGAGGGAGAAGATATGGAGAATTGTAACTTTGATTTGATTATCAAGTCATAATCGTCAGATGGAAACCCTTCAACCGGGTAAGAGGGAGAGAGCTGATCACTTGATTTTTATATGAATATTACCTAGGTGTATAATTGAGGAGATAGGTATACCTAGTGATTTGAGAACTCCAGATAGAATCATAACGTTATATATGATTATTGAAATGATAGTCTATTCACAAGCCTAGGAGAGGATGAAAATGGTCGCAAGAAGAGATGGAAATGATGATGAGAACGTATGAGGATAAGAGGTTTCGTATTGAAGAAGTAAGATACCTAGATAATAGTACGAGGTAATTAAACAGAATGGAGAGGCAGGTAGAAGTAATAAGCGAGAATGTTCTTTTATGGATTGACAAGTTAAGGGGAGGAAGAGTACAAGAAAGGAATGAATCATGAGGGCTTGATATTGGTGTATAAGAGCTCGTATATGGTCGGTTTGAAGTGGGGACTATGGATATTTAGGTATAAATCTAGGTAGTTTTCAGAATTCATGAAATGCTTTTATTCTGATATCTAAATGTCAATTCAAGTCGACATAGGTGGTTGAAACATGAGAGAAGTAGATGAAAGTTACAAGTAGAGGACGTTGAAATTTGTAGGTATTACTCGTATATCCACTCTTGAAATATTTAGGGTTTTGCTAACAACATCACCCTGTCTCAGCCTGTGCCCTACCTAGGTATCTAGATCTTTCACGATTCAAAGTCGAACTGGTGGGCGGGCTTGGAAGATTTGCCGAAGTCTAGATGCAGATGCAGAATGGATACCAGTATGCATATGTTGAAGTACCTAATGGGAATTATACATATTGCGATACTCCCCGCCCTTACCGTTCTAATATCGATAAGGGGTGAATAAAATGAATAACATGAATAAAAAATGAATAAAAAGCCCCAGTTTTCGAGAAAAATCTGAACTTGTACATATTCCGGGTTGGGGTATCTCGATGGATGATCAATTCGCCGCCGGATGATCATCTCCGTGCGATGTCGTGAGAGAAGCTACGTACTGTGAGGAGTATTACTTCGTAGATATACCTACTGACCTACTGACCTACTGGTATATGTATTCGGATACCTACCTAGGTAGGCACGGGAAGTTTCGAACTTTGATACAATCTATAGAGAAGAAATGCCGTGACTAGATCACGACCGACCTAGTTACATACTCCTTATTAGTACTCTCTAGAATCTCAAAACCTTCTAGATGGTTTTGAATGCGTTTCTGTACAGTCCGCCCTGTTCGTATCACAACAACAACAATGTGAGGCGTCAAGGCGTTTGGCTGCTTTTCTCGATTAAAAAAATTAAACCTTGCTTCCTACCCAGTGATTTTCCCATTTTATATTGTCTTGTACTCAGTAGTGACGTAGATACATTTACTAAGCTACTTTCAATCAGGCGCATTAACGCA